TAGAGCCACCCAGAAAATTTGGCAGTTAAATGCACTTGTTCAGTTCATGACGTATTAGAGCACGTAGTTTTGATATCTAGAACTCTGAGAGACTTCCTTTCTTCGAATTTAAACCACAGCTTCTATTCAGGATGAAGTCAGCACATTTTTTTCCCTTGTTTAGCTATAAACTCAAAAAATTCTTTTCAAGTTGTTATCAGCGTCGGTTCAGCTTAAACTTCGTTTATATTTTCTTACCAATACCCCACAATGCATTTGGATAGAATTGAGGTCAGCCGACGATCTGAGACTGCCCCGTCGATAGGTCTTATTGTCATCGAAACTTTTTTTCATTGCTCATGGATGAAGAATATTGGCCCACATTCTTGCAAAACGAGTTTCCTTCTCCAATTATGGGTCGATCCTTCACAGTCTGATCTTGGCATAATTCGTGACCACCTTACGAGTACGTTGTACGACTAGAAAGCTTCACCTTCCCGGTAGTATGTATTCCCGGCAACACTCTAATCATTACATAATCATCCAGCGCTTTGTTTTACGCGAAACCAGTGGGGTCTCACCAAAATCGTGATAAAATGGAAGAGACTAGGTTCACATAAACCGGTACATGGTGTGTGCAGAGTTGTCACAAAACTAAAAACGCTCTTACACGTGTTCAATAGAATCAAAAATTAGTGTACACGTGTAACAGCGTTTTTTCTCATTGTGCCCCAAATTTTTCATATCGTCCCAAATACTGGAAAAATCATTGCATCCTTACTAGGATGTTAACGTCGTCCAAACTTGGCATGCTCTCCTCTTTTCAGATTGGCTACATCGCCCCAGAAAATTGGCTGCCTACGTTGAAATTGGTAATGCCATCTACCTGAAAATTTTGACAATTTTTTTCGTTTTTTCGAAGTATTTTCGAAATTTATGAAATGGTATCTTTCTAGCTTCATATCTCTACAGAAACCCTATATTCTGCGTCGAATGCCGTTTCGTTGGACCTCATAGCTCGAAAATTAAGGGTACTTTGTAGGCAGATCGATTTTGATAGAAGTTCTCATGAAGTATCCACAATGCTCATTTTCTCAATTAGTGACAGTTCGATTTACCCCAATTTTTGATATGTTCTACACATTTAGTAGTAGAACAATTGTCGGTCGCACTGGATATCGAAATCGACATGTATGACCTTGTTTTAAGGGTCTGGGGCAAATATCGGGAGGTCAAGTCTCACATAACCCCGTAAGTGTGGCATCGTTGAAAAGGTCTCGGCAAGAGTGTTCAGAATATATATGCATTGTGGGGCCTATGACCACTCCCGACACGTCCAAAGGCTGTTGAATTAGAATTTCTGATTCTCCAGAATTTAACACAGCAGTAGATAGGAAGCTAACACGGCAAATAGATGGGCACAAACTCAAAAATAATCTTTCACTTCTGGATCACTAAGAAGTTGTTATATTATGACCCTTAAAACAAGGTCATACATGTCGATTTCGATATCCAGTGCGACTGACAATTGTTCTACTACTAAATGTGTAGAACATATCAAAAATTGGGGTAAATCGAACTGTCACTAATTGAGAAAATGAGCATTGTGGATACTTCATGAGAACTTCTATCAAAATCGATCTGCCTACAAAGTACCCTTAATTTTCGAGCTATGAGGTCCAACGAAACGGCATTCGACGCAGAATATAGGGTTTCTGTAGAGATATGAAGCTAGAAAGATACCATTTCATAAATTTCGAAAATACTTCGAAAAAACGAAAAAAATTGTCAAAATTTTCAGGTAGATGGCATTACCAATTTCAACGTAGGCAGCCAATTTTCTGGGGCGATGTAGCCAATCTGAAAAGAGGAGAGCATGCCAAGTTTGGACGACGTTAACATCCTAGTAAGGATGCAATGATTTTTCCAGTATTTGGGACGATATGAAAAATTTGGGGCACAATGAGAAAAAACGCTGTTACACGTGTACACTAATTTTTGATTCTATTGAACACGTGTAAGAGCGTTTTTAGTTTTGTGACAACTCTGCACACACCATGTACCGGTTTATGTGAACCTAGTCAAGAAGACTGTCTCAAGCTTCTATTCAGAATTATTTCATATTTTTGTGAAGTTCTGGGTGGACGAAACCCTATACCCATTCGCACACTCCAAATCGTTAGTTCGTCCATGTTTGTTAATGGAGCTTTGTTTCCATAATTACGTTGATTCGAGGGAAGGGGTTAGTTCTAAAACTTCTCTAGTAATCCTCTTAGAGTGAGAGAGTTGAAATTTGTACTCGCGAGACAATCTTGTTGATTGCTGCGTTCAAATTAAAAAATTATCCATGTGGTTCAAGCATAGACCTTATACGTCCCCAACTGTTTCACCAGAATCTTCAATCAATGTTACCGAATTTTGCCTAAACTAACAACTCTGATCTATTTTCTACTAAATCTGGTGTTAGAGTGTGCCAGATAACTTCAAACCCGATATCCCGATAGCTTCATATTGAAATGGTCATAATTACCTTCCAATGCTCGCATGAATGCGGAAAAAAATTTAGTTATCGCAAAATGCACGCCGATCGGCTTATAAACTCGTGCTATACTAGTTAAAAATGCAAAATCATTAAATTTCTTCTCAAACCAAAAAACAGAGGATAAATTCGAAATAGAAACTAGGTGGCTCTAAAGTTTTGCACCCCCTATTTTTTGCATTTAGTAAGAAAAAAATTGTATGCGGTGTATTTTGACTTCGTGGCTCCTGTCACTTGTGTAGGATAGTGTTGCACACATTATATCCCAATTTGGTAATTTTATGATGACACGTTCTAAATTTATGACGAAAATAAGGGTGGCTCTAAAGATTTGCACCGGACTGTATCTATTTGTTCAGGAGAAAATTGAATCGTAGACTTCTGTTGCATACTGTATATATCAATTTAAATCTTAACAGATGCAACTATTTCATTAGGACTTCTCTAATTAATTAGTGATGCATTCAACGACACTAATAAAATCATCCATCTTATGACTAACGCTGTAGAGATTGGCTCCGATTAAAGGTCCCAGAATAAATCCAGCAGGCGTTAATGACTCCAGCACGCCCTACAAGATGAATTAACTAATGTCAAAAATCCAAAAACTTGTGAGATATATGACATATATGCACAAAATATATGGATAATTCGATTTGATTTTACCAATAACAAAATCCCAAAGCTTCCCGGAAAGTATTCTGAAACAAGGGTAAAAACTGTAGCGAATACCGCACTTGCCGCGGCTCCTTCAATAATCCGCAAAATTATGGATGCCCCCAGAAATGTTTGTAAATCGTTTATTTTATCCATAAATCCAAACAAGAATAAGGAGGCTCCTTCCACAAGCAAAGAGAAAATTAGGACAGATTGTGCACTACTTTTTGTTGAGTCCATCTAAAATAAATATTTTTGGATAGGTAGTTATCATCGACGACTTGTTCGCATATGACGTCGACGGCAGGGCTTTCTAATTAATAAGTCAATCTAATTAATTGTCTAATTAAATAGTATGTTTAAACCAATTATTAATTAGGAATTAACGTTAACTAACCCAAGCAAATTTTAATAACTAATTAATTACAAAAACGTTAAAAATCACCAATTAATTGGTCAAGGTACTATGTAATTAACTAGCTAATTAATTGGCTTAACTAGAAACCCGAGTTTAATTACACTCAAAACAAAACGGTGTCAATATTTGACTCATCCGCCTTGGTTACAATTGTGATTCCGAGTAGTAATGAATTTTTTCCGAAAACCAAAGCAAAGACAGGGTGCTTGATTGTAAGCTAGGCGGTTAAGTCATATATTGACACCGGCGGTGTTGATTTGACAAATTTTTGTTTTGAGTGTACTAATTCCGAATTAATTAGACACAATATTTTCGTTCTAATTATCAATTACTAATTAATTGGAAATGTGGCTAATTAAAAAGCTCTGGTCGACGGCCTGTTAAGTACTTGACAATATTTAATATATACTTGAACCATCAACTCACCACGGTTGCTATGAAAGGTGAACAGATAGCTATTGAAGCGTCAAATATTGCAAGGACGACGGAATACTCGAAGGAAGTCGCGTTTTTACTTTGAGCCTTTAAAACAACTTGGTTAGTTATGTTCTAAATGTTTTGGGGCTATTTTATTAATGAGAGGTTTTACCGTTTTTGGATAAATTGTTAGTTGAATAGTGTAAATGGATTCGGCAAGGAGGTAAATGGTTGCGAAGAAAATTACTACTGGGAAGTTTGTTTTGGAGGTATTAGACATGCTACTTTTTTGAGATCACCATAGGGACTTTATTCCAGTAAATGATTTGTTTCACATGATATGTACGTTTTCTAAGAGAAACTGACAAAATGAACAACTGCGAACACCTGAAAATCAAGTTAGCATAATATAGCACAAATTGAATATATTACGGAAATTACTACAAATGACGGTGTACTTGATAAAATGTGAAAATTGTTTCCTAAAAAGATTTATTTTTAAACTCGTAAATACTCGTAAACAGACAGGAATTTCTGGTCACCTTGCTTACATAATATTCAATCTGCATACACATGCAACTTGATGCAATTACTTAATGTTTATTAAAATGCAGTTGCAGTATGCACGTTGCATAATAAATGAACCATTGTATTGCGTTTCAGAAAGTGCAAGTAAATAAACAAAAGGTAAATAAACTTATGTAACAAAACAGCGAAACAATTATGATTTTAAATTAGAAATTTTTAAACAAAACGTAACCAACTGCATGCTCGCTTTCACTTTCACTTGTCAATGCATTTACCAATGGGGAAAAGTAGGTAAATCTGGACAATATTTAAGGACAATTTGCGCCGAAAAGTTCTTCAAAGCAAATCCATTCGTAGATAGACGAACAACTGAAATTAATCTTAATCTCAGATTTTTGTTAGTGTTCATAAATATTTTAGAAAGAAATCAATTAATAAAAATATTACTTGTTTCCAAGTAAAATGAAGATTTGCGTCCTGATTTCATCCTACGAGGGGACAGGGGAAGAGTTTCGTGAAGTTCCGCCCGATTATCAAGACCCCTCAATCTGGGCATCTAATCATGATTTCATCTTGAAATACGTCACCAAGGAGGATGCCATTGAGAAGATTACTGAAGTCCTCGGGGAGGGGTATGATTTCATTTGGAATTTCATGTGGGGACTGGAATCCTATTGTGTTGCGGGGGTGGAAGCCACTCGATATTTGGAGTCTACGGGTTATCCTATGCTGGGAACTTCGTCAAAATATATGAGCCTAACTAAGCTTGATTTTAAGGTAAAATACTCCATTGACACATATCGTCGTACTATACTAATTCATAAAAGACCTAAGTGCAGTCGATGCTTAATTCAGAAAAGACCTTAGTGTATAGAAAAGAAGTAAAAAAAGACTTATGTCCAAGCATGTATTTACTTATGGCTAAATCGCGCGATATTTGAAGAATCGTTTTGGCAAGATATAGCCATAAGTAAATACATACTTGCACATAGGTCTTTTTTACTATACACTTAGGTCTTTTCTGAATTAAGCATCGACTGCACTTAGGTCTTGTCATGAATCTGTATTACCATATTATTATTGGAGTAATACAAATTCATGGGTCTTGTATGAATTAGTACGACGATATGGAATTATGATATGGTACATACGTTTCCATGAGGTACTTTTTGATTGGAATTTCAGATTGCAGCTGCTCAACTGGGAATCCCAACTCCGAAATGGACCGTTGCCTCAAATTTAGACATGAAGGGGATGAATTATCCCCTCATCGTGAAGCCAAGCGATGGTTATTGCAGCCTTCATATGAGCAAGAATTCCATTTGCAAGAATGTAGAGCAAGTTCTGGAACAAACAGAGTACTTAAAAGGACAAAAACATAATCCAGTTGGAGATGTTTTGATTGAAGAATTCATTCCGGGTGACGATGTTTCCTGCATGGTCCTGGAAACTTGGGGAGGGGTTGTCGCACTTTTGCCAATTATATATGAGTACCCACAAGGGAAAGGGGAGTTTGAACATTTTCTGGATTGGAATTCCAAATGTGCGCCACTTCTGGGGTTAAAGGAAGCCGGGGGGTTGGTGACCTACAGGATCATGGAGGATGGGAAAGATGAGATGGTTGGCAAGATTCAGGATGCCAGTGTGGATGCTTTCGTATCGTTGGGTGTGGCAGGGAGTGGGTATGCCAGGGTGGATCTGAGAATTCATGGGGATCAAGTATTTGTGTTAGAGGTATGTAAGTGGAAAATATTTATTTTGATTTTACAATTCCCATTTCCGAAATCTTCTTTAACTCACAGATAGATGCACTCTTAGAAATGGGGTTACGATTATAATCAAAAAGTAAACCTATATGACTCTACCGCCGTGGTAATGAATTTGTCACAAACTGGCTATAAATTTAGTAGCTGTGGTGAAAATTTAATGCCAAGTCGGCGAAACTTTGTAACCACTCGATCGCAAATTTATAACCACGGTGGTAGACTGACATACGTTTAGTTTTGGTTATAAGCATAACCCCATTTCTAAGAGTGTGTGATGCTTTTAGATGTACAGAGTGAAACGAATATCTTTAAATTTTCAGGTAAACCACACCCCTGCCTTTTTCTGTCCCAAGGGAAATTTGTACGGGGATGATGACGTGATTGAAAAGACATTCCCTGGAGGCCACAACGGCCTAGTGGATGCCATAATATCAGCAAAGAAAGTAATCGAAGGAGTTAAAGGATTCTACGACACGGTTTCGCTCAAATATGACGAAGCCTTCCACACCCTTAGAAATCTCCAGGTTTGGGAAGAAATCGTAGACGCTAAGAACTTTTCTGGATCTGTCCTCGACCTTGGAAGTGGGACGGGTTATCTTGGGAACTTAATTTTGGATAAATCCAGTAACTGCGAACTGGTTGGAATTGATGCCTCCGAGAAAATGGCGGAGTTTGCGAGACGCTACTCAAAAATCCATATTGGTCTAATTCAAAATGTGATGGGAGAGTTGGGACGACAATTTGACCATATTGTGGGCTATGGGGTGTTTTTTGCTTTGGATAATGCCAACTTTGAGAAAACTTTGTGCCTTTGTTTTGCCACGGCGGAGAAATCAATCACCCTCACGGTGGAAGATATCCGGCAGGAAGTGACTGATGCAATGTTGCAATGTGATCCAACATTCATGACGCACAATAATGTACCGATACTGGAAATTTTAAGATTCCGGAGGGATGGGGTTTGGATTTTTGGAGGTATGAGAAAGCCTGGAAATCACCAAGTACTGGATTTGATATTTCTGCAGTAACAGTTTCTTATAGGAAAGTGGATTAAATGGAAACTAAGATATGAATTATGATGCAAATTGTATATTGGAACAAATTTATTTGAGTAAATATTAAATGCAAACTTTAGAACTTATATATTACATAGAATTACGACTAGCATTAATTGTTTAAAGCATACATTTTCAAGATATAAATCCATATCGAGGTAGGATTATACAAAGTTTCTTAAATTTGTCATCATATCAGAATTTTATGCATAATTTTTGTAACCGTTGCTGTTGAATATCTTTTAAACAAGCATTGATGGAATTTTACATATTGGAAATCAATTTAAACCGGAAATTAAAATATGTTAAGGAGTCACAATTTTTTCCCTACAAATTTAATTGTGTTACAAATTTTAATATACCGTAGATAAATACATGTTGATATATGTATTTTCTTGCAAACTATGTAGATTACAACAATTAATTAAATTGCGTTAAATTCTTTAAGCATTTGATACATTACAAATTTGAATAATTATCACCATGTGAGAATACATTTTCCAGATGAAACATATTGACCTACTATAGGTAAATTCTATCCGCAATCTCCTGTTGTTTACGTGCACGGCGTCGACAAAGTAAGACTGTCGAGATCACGACGACTATTAAGAACACTAGCGCAACATAATCTCCATAATTCATGTCATAATTCTTATCTTCGATCACACACTCGAGGTTGCACGTGTGTCCCCCCAAGCCACCCCCAACCAGGTGACGTCCACCCCCAGTTGGAATGAAAATAGGCACAAACCCATGTCCCATTCCTCCACGATTTGCATAACCAACTCGACGCACAGATCCAGTCGCGTACCCACCAGGGACGGATATTTTCCTAAAACCTGGAGACGAAGATCTTCCAGAGGACGATCCGCCCGACCCACCTCGTCCTCGACTGGACGAACGACCCCCTCCTCGACCACCCCCACCGCCACGACCACCTCCTCCCCCTTTCGCCATGGCGACAGGTTCTTCTTCAATTAGTCGACTAACATGCTTCCTAAATGGCTCAATCTTATCCATGTTGGTCACGCTGACCTCAAAATTCGCGTGGCAGAGGGCCAGCAGTGCACAGGTGTCGAAAATCGTCACATTGTGAGTTTGAAAGTCTTCTAGAATAAAATATACATACATACAATGGTTTCTTTCCAACAGGGGACGGACAAAACGTTTTTATAAAGTGTTAATTAGGTAATAACATTTAATGTATTTATAAACATATTTCACCCACGTATAAGGATTTGATCAAGTTGTTGTACAAGTTTGACACACTTATCGAGATCTCCCTCTTTTTTGTGGAGCTGGCACGCCTGCTCCAATAATGACAACGCGTCAGACTGCGTAAATGCGTGTGAAACTAACAAAATTAATATGTACTTGCACGTAAGCAAAAACATGCAACTTTTACCTGATTTTCTCTCCCCGCAGTAATTTCATACTGGCATACTTGACACATGTCCATGGTCGGAATAATAACCGTATTCCATTTGCAATGGATACAGTATGGAACAGTCTGGCAAAATTCTGCTTGGCTGAAAGGATAACAATGACCATATCAAGGTCAAATGTTTTTTTAAAGAATTAATTGACAATGGGTCAAATTTTCGGTGAAAATACCCTTGAAGATTTACAATTTTTATCTAATATTCTATGTACTTTTTGGGAAGATGCTAACAAGTTGAAGCAACCATACCAACTTGCTGCAAATGGGGAACACATATTGAGATTCGAGAGATCTACATAACCAAGTGAGGATTTTCCATAATATAACACAGCAATAAATTGAGATTTGTGTACGTATGCCTAGTGGTATCGAGGAGAGTAAAAAAATTTCGAGTCTTTTGTAATAATTAGTGAATTTTACGTGAACTGTTAAAGAAAATATTTCAAAATCCAGAGCAATTTTATCTGGGTAAAAAATTGAGTTTACTCTGAATTGTTTCCCTACATTAAAATTTAAACTGGGTTTATTTATTTGGAAAGGGTAACATTATATTTGAGGGAGGCACATGGTTTCCAAAAGCAAAATGTGGTTCCCATAGCAACACGTGGTTTATATAGTTTTATATATAGAAATATTCCCTCACCTCAGGCTTTCACACAACTCATCCAAGCGACGTCTACAAAAATAATCTGATCCATTTACCCAACCTGTGAAAAAATAAAAACTATCTTATTTTTGTTCCAGCCTGACGCGATTCACAAATTTGTATTAAAGATTCAAAACCAGAACAACCTGTATGCCGGTATTCCGCACTTAGCAAAATGATAAGCAAACTTCGCACTTTTAGATTAATATTAACTACGTTTTTACATCCTTTCCTCAATTTAGTCGTCATGACTGCACAGATCACAATAACATATGTTATGTACACTTCCCTACCCGATGGGATTTCATGAACTGAACAATAATGTGTCACGTACAATACACAGTGTAAGTAAAGCTGTGAAGATTGAACGGGGAAGAGAAAGCTGGAGTGTAAAACCGGAGGAGAAATCGATCCAGGAGAAAGTTGTGTGGGAGCAGAATAACGACATATACACTGATGGGTATGATGTATGTATGTTTATTGTGCTGGGCGTACTCACTTCAACCTCTGCAACCTTTTTCTACCCACATTGCACTAAATATTTCATACTCAAAAATTAACCGGTACATCAATTGAGATTGATGAACGGATTGCCTGTGCATGTATTTACATAATTAAGCAGAAAAAATTACTACTTGCATAATACTTTTGTAGGAGAAGCGAAATCTGAGTGATTACAGATGACTCCAGATGCTAATATAATGCATAAAATTATCTGTGCATATGTAGTTTGTCAAATGAATAATCAATAATTTTCTAATAAAAAATTGATAAATTAACAGAAGATTCTTATTTATCATGTAGATTTATTTAAACACAAATGTATCCACTAATTTGATTGCAATGTGGTAAATACTACGATGTCCAAGATAAATATGGCACGTTTTTATATCATGTCAAAAAGTTTTATTTGCTTCTATGCTATTTCTTTAGAAACTATGCACATTTGTGTGCAGGTAATAATTTTAGCCTGCAATGAACCCAAAATTTTGTCGTATCCCACTGCGGAAATTACTTTGTAACATATAATCGATTCCATATTTAACTCATAAACTATTACTTGAGACTCTTAATTTCTATTGCAGTTAGTCATCATGCAAACGGACGTTGAGTTGAAAGCGCAGTATTTAAGAATGTTTATTATCACGTCATTATGAATAAAGTAATGACTAATAATGTAGAAAATGCGTAATTCAATCAACATTACAATTTTACAATTCCTGTTTTACATGCCCTTTAAGAGAAATTACACACTGGATTGATGGAATGTGTCAAGATTGTTCAGGGGCATCAACCAATTTAGAATTCCAACGCAATTTTAAGCTCTAAAATTGGGAGCATACTCATTTATCTAGTAAATATGTAGATGAGCAAGGTTTGAAAAATATCTTCATTAATCATGCATGTACATATTTAACTAAGAAAAGACATTCATCTTTGATTCATCGAATCAATCTCTATCTTAGTTTTTGACGTTTGATTCAGATATAGATTGCCTGATTAGGATTCGAGCTTTATCAACTTTTTGAATATTTATTAATGGTCTCAAACTTTATGGCGGAACATTCCATGGTGCACATACATAAATACACATGCATATGTATATCATGTACGTCGCTAACTTTGACTTTCAATCAAGGTTGACCGGTTGACGAAAGGTAATTTAGCCTAACGTGTCATTACACCCACGTCTTAATTTTGAGCTCTCAATAAAGCACCAAATCTGGACTTTGGTACGGAATCGGGAGACCTGAGCCGTACAAGATAACGATTCGATACATACATATGTACATATTTATGCAAAATAGTTTAATGAATAGCAAGTCAATGCATGCAGTATTTGCATGATTGAGTGCATGATATGCAGTCCATCTTAACGAATAAAAGTACGTAATTATGTAGCAGTATGTTACACATAAATACACATCCTGCTAAAATGCAATGCGCAACGTAATAAATAAGTTGACATGAAGAAACTTGTACTTTATGAAAGGCATTGTGCAGCAAGAATGTAATCGATTTAAGAGGGCTTAGGGCTCAAGGCATCTTATCTTTCCCGTGTTAATTATAACATTGGGCGTAGAGGTTCTACCGGGGGTAGCGATCAAAATTTCTAGAAAATCCATCACCTGCTTTATGTACAGCCCCAAATACATAAATGCATCGACTTGGAAATGCGATAGAAAAATGTAGAAAGAGATTATAAATGCTGGTCTCATTTCAGAAGCAAATCTAAGTCGCAATTTTACTTCTGATCAAGTAAATCCTAGGCATATTTTAAAAATAGTTACACAACAAAATTTGGGAACGATGAAGCTTAGCTTTATCTTAATTTCGACGCTGGCCTTAATTGGAAATATAAGTGGAGGTATGTAAATTTAACATACATTTTCAATTTGTTATAGAAGAATATCCGTGAGCAGTTCAAATATCTTCCCCTAAATTTTAGGCCTCTCTTATATGAATTTGACTTTATTGTATTATATTTCAATTGTGCTAATTTATTTTTTTTAATTTATTTTGTCGTTCATAAGAAAACGTAATTTTTACTTGAGTAAGAATTATACGATTCGACAAATACATCCAACAACGATGTCAGAAGTGGAATTTAACTATTTAATTATGTTCACCTTCAGAAAATAAAAATATGTTAGAAAAATTTTGAACGCCAAAATTTTCCCTGGGGAGTTATGAGAATTTCGGAATTTAAAGTAATGGAGGTAAGGAACAACATATCTCCGGAACGGGTTGAAGAAATTACACAAAACTTTTTTTCTACACTCTTTGCATATATTCCTTGGTGCGTTTTTCGAATTGAGTGGAAATTCCAACCCTCAACTCCGAAATTCAAATTTTGAAAAATTGGCCTGACGCAAAAATTATTCTTACCTACTTTTTACATTAGGCCTAAAAATCAATTTTTGAAAATTTGAATTTCGGAGTTGAGAGTTGGAATTTTTGCTCAATTTGAAAAACGCACCAAGGTATATATGCAAAGAGTGTAGAAAAAAAGTTTTGTGTAATTTTATCACCCGGTTCCGGAGATATGTTGTTCCTTATCTCCATCACTTTAAATTCCGAAATTCTCATAACTCCCCAGGAAAAATTTTGGTGCTCAAAATTTTTCTAACATATTTTTATTTTCTCAAGGTGAACATAATAAAATAGTTAAATTCCACTCCTGACATAGTTGTTGGATGTCTTTGTCGAATCCTATAATTCTTACTCACTTATAAATTTGTCTATTTGTCTATAAACTGCAAAAGTTATGGGGGTTTGAAATTGGTCGAAAATGCAAATTTTTAAGTTTGGCGCCACGCCATTGGGCCAAATATGAGTTTTACACGGAAATAAGAACGAATCCTTCATCAGGGGTCCCAGTAGATTCTAAAAAACATAGTGGGTACCCTGGACTCAAACGACAGGTCGTGAGTGTCCCTTGTTAGTCGCAATTTTGCTTCTGATCAAGTAAATTCTACGCATTTTAAAAATACTTAACTAACAAAATTGTGAGAACAATGAAGCTAAGCTGTATTTTAATTTCCACGCTGGCCTTAATTGGCACAATAAATGGAGGTAAATTCTGCATACATTTAAGACTATCTGTACAAATATATATATTCCTTATATATAAGGAGTATATAATATACATATAGGCATAATATCTTCCCCATAATTTTAACCCTTTAACGTGTATGATTAACGGCAAGAAAATGCATTAAATCGGGGACACTATAAGTATTTTGTGGTCATGGCGCGGGAGGAGAAATTATGAAGTTTTTAATAAAACTCGAAAAACTGAAAAATCAAAAATTTAACATTGCGTTGTATAGGGAAATATTCAAATTTTTGGGACGGAAATCTTCAAATTTAGCATTGTGTTGGCATAGGAGAAATCCCTCAAAATTTCAATAAATTTTAGGTAGCAGAAAGAAAATGGTGAAAATCAGTGACCTCCTAGAAACGACAATTGTCTTCCTTCCGCGCCATGACCACGATTTTTCAGGACGACTTTTGTCGTACCCCCGAATTAAACCACTTCTTATAAAACGACTATTGTCGTCGTTACAGTTTAAAGGGTTAACACTGTCTTGTATGTATGCTGGTTTTATTTAGCTCAAGTTGGATTTTTTCTCAACTTGCTCTTCTTCCATATATTTATTCAAATGGTGATTTTGAGGCGTGCCAATTCGTGTTTTTTTAATTGAATTTTTATTCTGCCTAAAAAGCATAACTTATTGGTCTACAAAGTTGGGAACTTACAATTTTTATTCTTTTCTCCCACGAACAAAAATTTACTTATTATGGTTTGTCCCTATACATCTTTTATTGCTATTTCGCATGATACTAATTAATTCAACCCTCATATGTACATATGAAGCTATAGCTTCATAAAGCTAAAATTATCGGGTTGCCGTGCAATAATGAGGGTTTTCAGTGAAAACTTTTCACGTCACCTATTTACGACATGTAGGAAAATTCCGTGCTTCCCAAGTTCCGCAAAATTTAGACATATTTCTCTTTAATAACAAGATATGTAGAAAACCTATGATATTTCGAGCACCATAACGTCGATTACCGATGAACTTGGGCAATTAAAAATTACGAGCAATTTTACGAAAGACTTTTCACCAAGGACATTTCAAACCTTTTGTAAACGTCGTAAACTTACGAATTAATCCATAGTTACGAACGCCGTTAAAACCAGCAATATCTTCATTTTGTAGAAACCCCAGGACCTTGAACACGTTTCAAAATCGTCACTTAAACAAATATAGGCAAAAGGCAACGTTGAGACACACAAATTAAAATTCATAGACTAAATCATTCATAAATTAATTAAATGCACAACTTTAATTCATGAGAAAATCATATTTTTTATTATTTCTTAGCCCCTCAAATAGCACTTCCCCAAACACAGCAATTGATCGCAGACGATTTGAGGACCCTGCTATCGCCCCTACTGTCTCAACTAAACGGTCAAATTATCACCCTGGACCTCCTCGTGGTTAGCGGGCCAGCCGAACTGTCCTCACAAATAAGTCCATTGGTCCCCCAGCTCTCCAAACTGCGAACTGACTTAACCTTGTTGCCCAACTACATTGACAATCTTGATGAGTTTAATCAAGCCGCTAATCGTGCCATGGTTGACACTGGGAATGTAAATACCTCCATAACCGGGATTTTGGACAACGTAACCAACCTTTTCAAGAAGGATCCAACCACAGGCGAATCGCCAATTGGGGCCATGGTTAATAATTATTCTACCCAGGTTAAGGAGACAATGTCAAAGATTCGAGCCGTTCTGGTGAATTTTATTTCTTTTTGATCCATTGGCGGGGTAAAAATTAAGCAACAATGCTGACATGGAATGATAAATTACAAATTTGAAAGTCAAATTCAATAATTGAAAATTGATTGATGATCAAAGTTGAAAAATAATTGCGATTATAGTAATTTAGAAATAAAACTTGAATGTAAAAATTTATTTTGGCACTTAGAAAAAAATCGTTTCTCGACTTACTCGTTTTGAAATGGTATACATAGAAAATTTTTCTTCAAAGGAAAACTTATGAAATTTTACGGAGACGTTGCCAGATATATTTACCTTATTCCACAATAATTTCAGATTTCAAAACTTGTTTTTGACTACGTAACTGTACTAAACAACCAAGTGATCCACCTGCTACATTATTTACTCTAGTTACCACGCGATAGAGTCAGATAGATACTCCGCCTGGTAATAACTTGGTTACCGGATTTCTGAGAGTGTATCGGATGTTAATCAGGTTTCGGGTTCGGATAAAGGGTACCGATTTTACACAGGTACCCAAACAAATCGGATCATCTCGTTCGAGTATACATATGTCGGATACGGATAGAATGGGTCGGGCTTGGGCACCGGCATTAACGGGAATCACCGTCCAGTAATGTTGTGGAAATAAAAAATTTACCACTCAAGAACAATTTACTACCAATCCGGTAGGGAATTATTACTAAATCAATACCAGCACGGAGTGTCTATGTGACTACCAGATTTTTAACAGTGTACATACTTATGTACAGACAACAAAACAACCCTTTTTTACACTTTTTTACCCTCTGTAATAATGATTTTGGTTCTGCGAGGGTTTATTTTAAGTTAATTATATAGGTTTACTACTTTAACGTTGAGAATTTGTATTTGAATTGGTCCGTGACATTGCCAGATATCACGAATCGTGATTCACGATTATCAAGCGAGTTCGGGTTAACACTTTGTCTTCCCTACAACCGCAAATTTAACTAGAAAGGCCAATATGTAAATAAGAAACGCACCGTTCACAGTCTCGTGCGTGAGGCAGCACATCAATCCAGTATTACACTCGCCAAGTCGTGGAACCGGATTCGGGCAACTGTTCTCACACCTCGTTCCGGGAACTCCGAAATGCGTGATGCGTCCTCGACATCGCTGTGTCAAACCCTGTGACTCTGTTCATGAATAATAATATACATTATAAAAAATAAAAATCTGTAGTTTCCCTAAGATCTAAATAAAATGGGACAGAAAGTAAGAAAAATTTGCATATTTTTATTTTTCTACGACTCACCTGCTGGGTCAATGTAAACGATCACGTGCAAAACCAGGCTGGCAAAAAGCACGACGCCAATAAAGTCTCGGATGAGACGATGTAGTTCCATCTTCTTGATTCAAGGCTTTGTTTTAGCGAATACAGAATTATCATAGGGACAAGTTTGGTGTGGTGTCAGCTAGTTGGTACAGTTAAAAATGGAAACATTACGGAAAAGGTGTCAGATTTTTATATTTTGGAAAATTTATATGTTTGCAGAATGGATAGGTACGTGAGAAGAAGTTTTTAAGGGATGGATGCCAAAGTTAATCCTTTATGGAGAAGGTACATATGTACCTTCTCACGTTGGTATTTGAACTCGGTTGCTATTTATTTATAGAAATTCCTACCTTTTAGTATTTACATAGACTTGAGTTAAGCAGGAGAGAGCTTTAACAATGGAACTTTTTCAACCTACACCGTAATTGGTCGTTTGAAGAAAAATATGCCCCATTTTGATAAGTTTCCTTTACGGAGCGAAAACAAAGGTGGACGTGTAAACTTTGCCCCCCAAAGATTCTTCTGTATAGGGGGCCGTCCATAAATTACGTAACGCAAAAATCATCATTTTTTGGACCCCCCCTCCCCCCTCGTAACGGCATCGTAACGCTTCTCGACTACCCCCTCCCCCTTCGTAACGTAACGTAAATTTGATTTCACCGCAGGTAATTTCTTTAACAGTAACTTGCAAAATTTTCATTTGCTCCAGGTTGTGTAGACAAATGTCGCTTTTATTGCTTCTATTTCTTTTAAATTGCTAGATAAATTAGAATTTTGTGAATTTCTTGTTCAAGAACAACCGAAATCATATTCGACAAGAAATGGAAATTGTAAATCTTACAGGTCTCTCAACGTTTACCAAGACTCACAATGGAACCTTTTGTCAAGTTGCACCCGGAAAACTATCGTACGACCATTAATACATATGTAGATGAGTACAGTTCTTGACAACCATCATGCCTCCTAAGTGACCTCGTTGGGGCTCAGGTGATCGGCAAATTCCGATCAAATTCTCATCTTAAAGGTAAGGCTCAATTAATCGTGAAACTTACGTCACACCATCGCCCTTCGAGGTCACTGTGGAGGAATGATGGTTTACAAGTAGGCAAGAATTTTGCTCTTCTTTTAATGTGAGCACCATAATGAAAAATGTATTTACATGCGTAGACTGAAACCTTCTGGATGACATGAGTTCAATCCGATTTTTAATCGCGTTTATGAAATGCGTTACGTAACAAATTTGTTATACCCCCCTCCCCCTACATAACAATTCGTAACGCTCTTCCCATGACCCCCCTCCCCCTCTTGCGTTACGTAATTTATGGACGGCCCATAGGGATAATTCGACGGAAAGATTAGTATCACGTGATTCCTGCTTTTTGGCTAGATTTTTTGATATAACTTAATGCATAATCACAGTGCAGCTTGAAATAAGGTCTAATTGTAAGGGTAATTACGTATATGTATGTTGCACTTCCTTAAAGGGCAAGTCCCACGTGCATTCTAAATGTATTAAGCTATACCGATTATGTATATATATATATATGTATATGTATACATATTTATTTATGGTTTCTGTCCTGCTGAGAGTACACTTCAGGTCATGGGGTAAAATTAGAAAAATAATTTGACGCCATGCGCCATCAGCGAATTTCTCGATGATGGATAAAGTTATTATGCCTTTATCCGTCATAAATTATCGAATATGTACTTGTAAAAATTTACCCTAGTGGGCAGTGTTTCGTTTCTTGCGGGTTTTTCTCATTTTTTGCACTGCAAAGCAAGAAATGCAAGAAATGCAAGAAAGTGCGAGAAACACAGCGCCATCTAGCGACGCGCCTACAGAACTATGGCGGCGGGAAGGAGTTTCTTGCACTTTGCATTTCTTGCGGGTAAAAATAGCTGCAAAAACCAATTTCTTGCGGTTATTTCTTGCAGGTGGGTCTGGTTACTGGCACCCGAAACACTGCTAGTGGGTGACCTCTGCGCTTTTTTGTCAAATAAAATGACCATACATCCTGTCGAATTTCTGTACCCGGTCATCTCATTTGTATATTTTGACGCATTCACGAGAGACATAGAGTTTATTCAACATGGAAAGCCCGTATCGCCGGAAATGGGCATACTGAGATTTATGCAAATGAGATTACACGCCTAAATACGAGGATAGTATGTAAACTACAAATTTAAATATAATCAAATATCAGGGAAAAAAAGGTCGCATTGAGTGATAACCACTTGACCTGGTTTGACTCGGGCTGTACATATCACGTGTAGGTTTTTAAGCTTATAATACTCGGTCCTGTTTATGTTTCCTGATTTGCAAAGGTTTCTTCCTACGGCAATTAGTTTACAATGAAAAGGATGAGTTTTCAAAATGGTGCACCTTCACAATTTTTAATAATTTTGATGGCACTTGGATTTACATAAAGTCAAAATTTAATGGTAAGTTTAACTACTGTCAGAAATTACAAACATACGTATTTACTTGATAACCATACAGCCAAGTAGCATTTCTAAATTACTTAATTAAGTGGGACGATTAATTTAATTATAATTAATTACTGCTGCAAATTTGATTATGAACAAATACAAAAGATTTAAATTAAGTTAATCAAATGTGCCACTCTCCATTAATAACTCGGTGGTCAATATCCCGTTAACTAACTATATATGTAATTCACAGAACGCAAATTCATATTAATTATCATCTTGATTAATCCTCTCCCTCAATCTGTTCATCCATTCGTTCCGGACATTTGGAAATATTCCGGGTAGTCGGGCAGCTTGACGGTATGATGTTTCAGGGTCAATATCATTCTTAAAAATGACCAAATTTTCCAGAGTTTTACAACCTTGTCCTCCTTCCGTAGGCAGCAGACTGTCAATCAGATCGCTGTACGTGTCCCAAAAATCATGGTCCACGTGACTATCGCCACCGTCGTAATTATCTGCGTCATTATCGCTATTGTCGTCATGATCCTCTTCAACATCGCCACCGTCATGTTCTAAGTAATTATCGCCACCGTCCTTATCCTCTTCAATATCGTCATAATTTTCATAAAGGTCCGCATCATTATAGTCATCGCTATCGTAATCATAGTTGTAATTATAATCGTCGTCCTCCTCATCCCTCACAATCCTTGGTGCCAGGAACGAATCGAGGGAAGGTGGCGTCCATAGTCGATGCCGTCACCACGTGGAAATGCGAGGCTCAATCGTACCTCGTTTCCGATACGACAAGCCACACCTTTAGTTTCTGAGAAATACTCTGTCGTATTTTCAAACTCTCCAAAGTGAAAATCGAAACTTCTCAAGTTAGGAAAACACGGCAAATTCAAGGCGAACCGTGACTTTTGTTCCATTCCATCCGTCGCCACACGAAAGTAAAGAAGTTCCAAGGAGGGAGCGAATTTCCTGAGCAAATCCTCAAACTCGGATAGATCTTGTTTCCCCAGAGGTAAGGTGAGTATCACCTTCGTCAGGGGCTGATTTAACTCGGTGAGAAAATTAATGGCATCCTCGGGCTGGCACGTGAGCGAGATTTCTCTCAAATTTTGATACTTTGAAGGCCCCTTTGTTTGCAACTCTTTTACAAATCTTGACCCAGTGACACCATCGCCGACGGTGGAGATCGAGGTCACCCGGGTAATCGCGTCGGCCCAAGTTTTCATCCACTTGGCTCTCAGTGAACCTGATTTTGAACATTTTCGATCCGCCAGCCGGATAGAAAACGTCTTCAGAACGGGGAAAAATACGGCGCGCCGCACAGTATAGTTCTTCTCATTGTCACCGTCGTGAATTTGCATGCTGAAGTCGAGACGTAATTCTTCCAAGGTGGACTTAAATTGACAAGCGGTGTCGAGATATAACCGGTACTCTTGGTCGGAGAAGACGCACCCGGTTAAGGTCAAAGTCTTGGGGTGGTGTCCCTTTTGAAGAAACCAGGTCAGATCGGTGACGAACTTTGCTCGCATATTTGCAGACTTGCTAATTTCTGGTGCGCCGAACTACCACACCTAAGTTAAGTAAGTGAGCGCACCGGTTCGCCGAGCCAGAAACTAGCAAGTCTGCATATTTGCGGGGCCATTCCACTTGCCCGGTAGGTTTGGAAAGATAATCTTCAAGTTCGGCCAATCTGTGACATTTCGCATGTCTTGTACGTATTGCAAAAGTTTCAGGGAGGGGTTGAAGTCGGAAAAGGGCCAACCCCAAATGTTCAAATTCAAATTTATGACGCATTTCTTTCGCAGAATGGGAGAAACTTGGTTGTTCCAGTGTCGACAAACTAGTCGAGCGTTCTTCAAGCTTCCGACGGAGAGAAGGGATAGAATTTTGAAAAAAATCTAGAAATTAAGGAAGATAATTATTTAATGTCTATTTTTCAATGAAAAATTACTATAAAATAATTTCGTATTTCGCGTACCAAATCGTTTTGAAATGCGACATTTAATTCAGCTGGATTCTCCGAGGTACAAATTTTCTTATTTCTATCCCAATTTTCAGGGTATTCCCGTTTCTAAAATTTCCACGGAATTAATTAATCATTACTCAAATTTGTTTTAAAATGCATGTATTTTTACTTCAAACGTGAAGATGGCAAGTCCACCAGAAATGTCGTTGCGAAACTTCGTGACGGTGAATACGTCGCCAAAATTTAGCTTCGTTTTGACTTTGTCGTCAAGCTTAACACCATTTTGGAAAATTCCGTCCCCCTATTTTTTGTTATTGATGATTAGTAAAATGGCTAGTAAATTAATTAAATGAAATTAAATATTTATTACCAACCTCGACAGCTTTGACCCAGTAATGCCAATTCTTACAAAAGATTTCCAGGCCAAAACTCCAATTCCAGGGGTTCGCTGACCTCTTGGTCCACACTTCCGGCTTCAAATAGACGAATTCGCCCTGCGTCTCCCTCGAGATGCACGTATCGCCAATAGTGTACTGCGAATTAAAATACATTAGAATTTGCAATTAACAATAAGTGACACAGACAAAAATTGGCAATTATTTTTTATTTAATTACGAAATTAATTAAATCACCTTTTGACCATCAATATAAGGCAAGATAACCGACCAGTGATCCGAGTCCGTGTTAAATTTAGCTTTAAAAACACCATCCGGAAGTTGGAATAAGTTGGCTGCCATTATTTCGATCATTCAGCCACACTGGAAATAATTATTATGTAGTCATTAATTTTGAAGCAAGGTTAAATATTTGCAAAGTTCAAACCAAAATCATTAATTACATACATAGATATCTTGCTTAATTTAGCATCATCTAACAAGTAATGAAGAAGAAATATGTCCTAATTACAGTTAAATTATTTAGGCCGTGATAGTTAAATAATTAAGTATTTTAAAAATTGAGTAGCATTTTGTTTGTTACAACATTATAAAGATTACAATTTGCGAAGCCTTTCATTTAATGTTTTAAATTGGACCTATAAACGGTCAAAAATAACTCAAATCTAATCAGAAACATGTAATGGAATTAAATTTGTGAAAACTGAAAACTTACCAATTTTCTTGCACAAAATTAAATTACAAATTAGGAAATTTGTCCTTTTACTTTCCAATCAAGCAAACGAGCCGCCGTTAAAACAACCGCCCGTTCGCAGCTTCCCCACTGGCTCTCATGTGTGATATTCTAGCGTCCACGTCCTCGTACGTTAGCGTCTAAAATTAGCGTCTAAATATATTTATATTTTATATTTTATATATTTTTATATTTTATATTTATATTTATATTTAAATATATTTTAGCGTCTAAAAATCTCACTTTGCCCCAAAATTCTCCCTGTGCCCCAAATGTCTCACCTTGCCTCAAAATTGTCTCTTTGTCCCAAAATTCTCACCTTGCCCGAATTTCTAACCGTGCCCCAAAATGCTCACGGTTCCCAAAATGTCTCACTTTGCCCCAAAATTCATCCTTTGCCCCAAATGTTTCACATTGTCCCAAAATTCTCGCCTTGTCCAAAATGTCTAACTTTGCCCCAAGATTTTCACCTATGCCATAAAATTTTCACTTTGCCCAAAATTCTCACCTTACTTCAAATGTTTCACCCTAGTTCAAAATTGTCCTTTTTCCAAATGTCTCACTCTGTCTCAAAAATCTCACGGTATCCTATAAAAGCAGTACAAAACGATTTGGTAATATTGGCAAATTTAAGTTAATTTTGATGCAGGAAAGGGAATTTTTAAACATAATTTGTGGGAATCAGTGTGATCATGTCCCAGAACAATTTTTTATTGTTTTCCAGGCCCCGAGATTGGAGAGAGCAACCGGGGCATGCATGGCGCCAACATCTGTCGGATCTGCAAGGTTTCCGGTTTATTGTAAAAACATACTGAATCATAAAAAAGATTAGAGACTCGATGGAGAATTTTAGACCCCACATTTTTCGCATGAATATGTTTGATTGAATTCCTAGCATTCAATCTAAATACATATGTAGATACACTAATGAAAGCCAACAATAAATCTACAAAAGTTCTAATACATAATTTACTTCTTCAGATTTTTAAGAAACTTACTCCCGAAATCTGACATATATGCAAATCCTTATCACGTAAGACACAGAAGTCCCGCATACATATATGTATGCGGTAACTATAATTACCTATGAAAATATCTCTGAATAAACAATTATTCACGTATTTGAGTTTGCCAATCTGTCCAAGTGATGATGTTAGCTACAAAAATGTAGTCAAGGTAAAATGCTACTGACAGAGTCATCCTGCCACGTGTCCCAATATTTGAAACTAAAATTTTAAATTATTTACGAGTTTATTTTCTAAATCTAAATTCTCTCAAGTTATACTCCCTCATCTTACAAAATACAGCAATTCTTGATAATTTCATTTCTATGAACACAAAAATCGTAGACAAAACTAAATAAAATCAATATCATTCGTACGAACTTTTAATTCAATTTAATGCAGTTGTGAAAATTGTACAATTATTGTCAAACTCTGACATCAAGTATCTGTATTTCTTGAAAGTCAAGTCATCAGGTAACATTTATGGACAAGGTGAGATTTTTGGGGCAGGATGAGATATTCGTGGCGCAGTGAGAATGTTGGGGCAAGGTGAGATTTTTGGACATTAAAATATAATGACGCTGGACGGTGGACGATAAAATATACATAAGGACGGTGGACGCCAAAATCTGAGGACGGTTAAAGTATGAGGACGTTGGACGCTGGGACGCTTAAATATAAGCCTGGACGCTGGGAAGACTGTCCCGACTCTCAGAACTGTTTGCTCACAAGCGTGTTTGAATTAAGACAAGATAAACAGGGCAATGAATGAAGGATGATGTTATGTATTTCGTGGGTCTACTGCATAATATGCTGGTGTATACAAGAAATATGCACTTTTGTTAACATAAAGGTCACAAGAAATGCATACTTTATTTGTGCTTCATCCGTTTATAATTTTATGCGCAGAACAAAATTCTAATTTGCAACAGCATCGATATTTTCCTCACGATAGTCCTGATCGGCAAATTCTTCATAACTTACGTTAGCATTACACCGAAATTGCTAGTTGGGACTAGATATGTATTGTTCACCGTCTGCATTTATGGTATGTACGCTGTTGTTATTATGTGGTTTCAACTTGTGCATTCCATCAGTGGTATCAACACTTGCTATTTATGATTACGGACTTTTATTGATAGAAGAAGTCCTCTTAATTACAGTTATTTTCCCTAGGTAAACACTGGGTTTTCCATTTCTATACAAACATTCGTGACAAGTAATTTGATCAATGGGTGTTGTTGGGTATGTATACCCGAACCCGGTCTTATTAAAGTCAGTGTTTAATTGCGACTCGTGTTGTTCACTTCTTTCTCATACACTCATCCACCGCTTCACCTAACAGTGTATTTTGAAGTGCACAAAGTTAGATACCAATTTCAAAATAAAGGGCGGAGGTTTTCCACGGAAGGACTGCTTAATGTATTTATTTTACTTCCCGTTGTTACCAAGCGGCCCTTCTATTGAGCTATGTTTTCATTAATTGCTATTTTATTAATAGTTCTTGGTGCGTTTGATTTTGTGATGAAAAGGAAAAAATTGTTAAATATGAGGAGTGTCGTGGATGTTCATTTAACCGGCTAAATCAATCTCCACAAAAGTGATAGTGTAGAGTTTGTGTTTTCGTCTAATTTATGTACATATATATTTTCAGCCAACTATGCAAAGTTGGGTTTATTTTTGTGCTAACATATTTGTCGTTTGTGTGAATGATGTGATTGGAAAATGTGAGATGACTTTTACTAATTAATCTGGTTAAAAATGTAGTAATTTGCATGATTTGTTAAGCAATGCAATAATAACAGTGCGCGAAAAACAGCAAATATTCTGTTGTGTGTACGACTTGAGTCCCGTTACTTTATTCCTCTCTCTTTCCCCTCCAATCTCTTAATAATCTCTTTCTTTCCAATCTCCATTCTTATACATATGGTACATAATTGCTACTAAATACGACATCAGACATAAATGAGTCACATAATCATACAGTGTTTTAAGTGTAAATAGTCGAGCTTGCTTGGTCGTGAGATATGGGAAAGGTCAGCTCCAAACTGATCCCGTAACCTGAAACTGTCTGGTTTGCCATTCTCCATCCGGTCTCAACACTTGGCTATTTTGCATACTGGACAATTTAAGTAACACTTTGTTTCTGCCGCGTCGTCAGGATTTTTATGAGCATGTATTATAACATACAGCAGAGCCAGGTTGCTCACAATATTTAAAATATGTCGTATTTATTACATTTATTGAACTTCATTGAATCTTCCTAAGAAAGCTACCAGCATAAGAAGTGGTAAAATTATTCCATTTTCGGTATTGTGTAGATATCTTTATAGAAATGAATTTTATAGTTATGATGATTTTTGTAGTGCCACGGGATGCCAGTTTAACTCCTACTGGTCCCAACCTATAAAACGAGTACATATTGCCAAATGATTATCAGCATGTTTTACCTTATGAGATGGAGCTAATAAAGAACACAGATTCCGTTAAATATGTTAACAATTACCAAAGAATTTATAGTTTAATTAATAATTTTCTGTAGGAATGGACGTTGGAGGCTTCGTACACATTTGCAGGAATTTCTAAATTATTTTCACAAAAAACTAAAATTGATGAAGCATTACTGAATTTATCAGATACTCTGAAGTTAACCTTAAATAGATACGTATACTTTTAGTTAATATCTTTGATGGTTAATTAAGAATTGTGTTCCAAGGCCATGGATACATGATTTACTCCCCTCTGCAAGGAATCCTGCAAACGTTAGTGTAAGTTGCCACTGCAGTTTCATAGATAACCCCAACAGCTAAAAAGTTATTGTTTTACAGATTGGAATATATTCCTCATCATCTGCAAAAATTAAAATTGCAGAAAACATCCTTTTGACAGAAGTTAAGATGGAATAATCAGGTATCAAGCAATGTTACGCAGCCTAAACCCTACATACACAGAAATTGCAGAAACAATAGGAATTGATGGAGTTCAGGAAGGATTATTTGGATCAAGAGTAATTGTTGCATTCCAGCATCAACGAACAACTCGCAATTTCTCTTATTTTTTACCAATTACATTGCAACCTTACAATGCGCTCGAGAGACTTCAAGGTGCTCTAATGTATCCATCATCATTGCGGACATACGGGACACTTAGCCTTAGTAGCCTGGTTGCCCGAAGCCCGTTGGGAAGACCAGATAACATGACGATTATGTTGAGATATTATCTCATCTGTCACAAATATCCTAAACCGACCTTATGGTAGATTCATAAATTATGTCACCCCAGATAACATGGGCAATGATGAATTAATTAATTATGAATTGTGTTTAATCCTGTAGAGTAAACAAAAAACATGAAGAATAGTTAATGTTGTTGTAGAATTCGCATTTATTACGTTGATTTATTGCAGCGTCGAATCCGGCTAGGCGCCATCTTGCATTTCCCGGGTAAGGTTTTTATTAATATCTGGACCTAATCCTAAGGTGTGTAACGAAGACTTTTGAGTTCGCTCTATCCTCAAATTAGTACGTCTTTAGGCAAATTCACCTTAGTTTTGTTAGAGGTAAAGGATACATAAATGCTTCAAGTTATACAGACGTGTACACACATCATGGAATACCAAACCTTCATTACAATATTATTTATTTAATTTTGGTAAGATATATATGAAATTATTTGAAATTAATCTAATTTATTTTCGGTTTAGGCATACAATAGAGTATAAAATTAAAGTATAAAGTAGAGTAGCATTCGGGTTTTCAATAAATTTAATGAATTAATTTAGTGTACTCTTCTTCTGGCTCGATCCTCCGTGTCCAAAAAGTCCTGTTTTGATAGCATTGAGCGTGCACGTGCTCTTCCCTACTTTTGCACTGATTCATGTAAAATTTTAAACTATGTCCTAGAGATGCAAAATGTGGCATGCACATGCACCAACATATGATGCATCATAATGTAACATCAATTCCCGTTCCGTTCGCTATAAATTTTTCAGGAAAAATCAAAAACCAAATTGAATAGGGGTGACATTTGGTTTCGGATTTTTCCTGAAAAATGAACGGCTGTACCAGGAGATTTAATACCAGTTGCCCATGGGCGTCCTCAAATGTATCCAAACACTTGTTTTATCAGTCTTAAGAAAAAAAGTTACCTTGGACTTGGCACATGGATATTATTGAATTTAGAGTTAATCAGGGTGTTGCCTTCATGATTCCGAGGTCGATGTATGTCAAATATATATGTGGAACACCAATCAATATATGTAAAAATTTTATCAAAATCTGAAATTAATCCTTCGGTAATTGACGTCAAAATTATTAGGTCGAAGGAATGTTTAGAACTGACAAGCTTATAAGCTTTCAGTATTAAGTATGATAAATCGATTATTAAATAAATGTTTGTAAAGCTGTCTCGTCGATTTAAAATTTGTTCCATTCTCCACCAGTATAATGCAATGTGATAAGTATAGGATAAGATAATAATAAAGTGACGTCAGCAAATAAAATTGTTGTTCACAACTTGTGAGTTGAATGGTGCAAGGCTCATTTTAATATCAGGATCATCTTCACCACACTAAAGTGATTAGCCATACGGTGTGGAGGTTTTAGTACAATTTTCTGGCTCCGCACTGTTTTTTTGTATTCCTTTTAAAATGAGGATTAAAAGAGTTAAATTATGGGTGATGCTGGTGGTTGCACTAATAGGGCTGACTTGTGAAGCAAAAATGCAAGGTGGAGAATTAATTAATTTCCTTTGGGATTGAGAAGAGACTAATAAATGTATTAATTACTCAGATTCAGATGCAGTGACTTTGGAGTTGAACGAATTGGTGGGAGAAGTAATTGTTCGACTTGACGAATCGTTGCCTTGGAGGGAATTAACCTTCGCCATAGCCTACCCTGCTGAGTATAAGATGAGTTTGGGATTGTGGATAGAAGAAATGGACGGTGGTGACAAGCTGCATTTCTCTAAGAAATTTCCAGATTTAAAATACAACGTAAGAAAGTTTAATAAAGCTGTATTTCTTCACTCAGGTTTGCTTTATACGCTGTAAATAATCTAATAATAAACATTACCAAAAAGCACAGGTATTTCTATGACTCTAACAAAGTGGTAATGATAAGTTGTACCGTGTGATAATGGCTTGGTAATAAGGTTTTACCATCATGGTAACAAATTTTTACTATAGATGGTAAAATATTATTGAGAAATTTATCACCTATTTAGAAATCATTATCTGCATGACTTTACGGGATTATTAAGAGTGTACGGATTAGCCGCGCGCTATAGCCTGTCCCAGTCTCATACACAACTTAACGGTTTCTACAACACAGTCAGTATACACACTCCACACTCTATAGCACGGTGAGTACACCGTTAAAATGTGTATGAGACGGGGACAAGTTAAAGTGCGCGTTTAATACCAGAAAGAACTAATTTTGGATGTCATGCGTATAATACTGCATTTATATATTATTATTCGTCAATTTCGCACGGTTGAAGCCTCAGGTATCAATTATAAAAATTAAAATATAAATACGCTATATATGTACACCTAAATTATTAAACTATCTGTGATTTATTTAAATTGCACTATAATTTTCAGTTTTCAGCATTTATGTGACTGGTACTCGTAGGGTATTTAGTTGTAAGCATTTTCAATTGTTGTAAGCAAACGAGGCTGAAAATCATATTTCCTGTGCAGATTCATTTTTGTTTTTCAATCTTTTCAGGGACTCATAAAAATTGACTATGAATTTAGTCTTTTAATGTACAATAATAAGCCCACTTGAGGTTCTCATGAAACACCGACCATAATTAATTGTTCAACTGGTTTTGCTTTAAGGCAGTGTTAAATGACACGAAAGGTTCCCATGGGGTCGGTGCCTCGTCTCCTGGCCGAGGGTCACCGGATTATGTTCGCTGGGAAATTGAGGAAGAGATAGGGGTCACAATGTTGGGGTCCTGGAGAACGAGCAGTGTCATTATCGTCGTGACCCTCTTCAAAAGAACCGGTATTCTAATAATGCATCAAGATAGACAAGTCACTTCTAAAATTCTTATCTACATATCGTCGTCCTAATTCTAAAAACCCCTAAGTGCAGTCTCATCTTAATTTTAAATAGCCCTAAGTGAAACTGCTTCGTAATTTTAAAAAGCCCTATGTGCCGTCCCTCGTTAATTTTAAAAACCCCTAAGTGTATTTTCGCATTAATTTTAAAAAGCCCTATGTGATACATAAAAACGAGTAAAAAGCCCTAACTGCAATTCAAATTTAAATTTCAAATTATGCATAATTATTCATAATAAGATGTGATAAAATACTATACATGTGATAAACTCATACTGTGTGACGTTTTTTATCACAAATTAAATTTTGAAATTAAATTTTGATTCTGCCATTCTTAGATGTTTTACAAAGGACGCTCACGAAATATAGTGGACTTTTTTAATTCTCACCTTCACTGTCAAATTTCCAAAATTTTCTATTTGTAAAAAAATTCAAATGAAAAAAATAGAAATTTTTGAGAAAAATTCGAAATTTCTGAAATTTTTCAGAAAAATTCTCAACTTGGGAAATTTTTCAGAAAAATTCAAAATTTCTGAAATTTATCAGAAAAATTCGAAATTTCTGAAATTTTTGAAATTTTTGAGAAAAATTTGAAATTTCTGAAATTTTGCGGAAAAATTTGTAATCCTAGTAAGAATGGCACAGGTAAGTTTAATACATATCTTCAAAATTTAATTTGTGGTAAAAAAATTTCACACAATGTGAGTTTATCACATCTATGTATAGTATTTTATCACATCTAATTATGCATAATTTGAAATTTAAATTTGAATTGCAGTTAGGGCTTTTTACTCGTTTTTATGTATCACATAGGGCTTTTTAAAATTAATGCGAAAATACACTTAGGGGTTTTTAAAATTAACGAGGGACGGCACTTAGGGCTTTTTAAAATTACGAAGCAGTCTCACTTAGGGCTATTTAAAATTAAGATGAGACTGCACTTAGGGGTTTTCAGAATTAGGACGACGATATGTATATAGAGCCCTACTTATACGAGAAGTGGTTCGATTGTCATCACACTGATCCGGAAGGGCTTGGTCGCTTGATCCTCTCCCATGAAATGTGCAATGGACGGTGGAACTGCCCAAACGGCTTTGACGAGAATGACTGTAGCTCCACCTTTGGGCACTCTGAAACTGAAGGTGCATACTTATGACAAATCTATTTCTAGGACAAACAATTTTATAAGCTCTTGCTGATTTAGAAACAATGAGATCGATTGATGAGCGGTGTTCAGTAACGTATCAGTTGGCCGGGTTTACCTTCATCTTGTCACTTATTTGCATAGTCGTCTTCTTCTTCGTTCATCTTAGAATTCGTGCGGGTCAAGAACGCTTGAAACAAGTTGAACGTTCCATCCACAAGCAACCCTTAATTGACGAAATCATTAGTGAAACGATTTCTAATGCAAGCACTACTTCAATTTAAGATGGATCACTTGACGTTAACGAATAAGAAAACTAATTAATTTTTTAGGATGAGCCACCTTCTTATGATGAGGTGCATGAGATGAACGCACAACTACCCCCCTCAAAACTGCAGGGTAGCGAACCTCGCTGCTGGGATAGGAACCATAAAGTAGTACACAACAGGAATTCAAATACAAGCGTGAATAGTTAAACAATTTATAACCCTAGTTAACATTACTAATTGGCAATAAAACAGCAAACAAATATATGTGGATTAACTAATTTATCCAGAAAACTGATCCAAATAATTTGTTTGATCGAAGTATTGCGCTCCTAAAACTCCCTAGTCTCGTTCACAAATGTCAAACTAAACAATGGCGTTTGGTTATGATACATGCATGGAGAGAAAATTTTGGGAGATTCATTTTAGAATTATCAATAAATACTTATACCACGATTCAGTGCATTTGATTTATTAGTCAGTAAGAATCGTTCCACTGTACAACATTTTTCTAAAATCATTGTCGAATGCATCTTACTTGCACTGGTTTAGCCCACCCGTCGTCGTGCACGTTTGTCCCGTTCCGCAATGTAGCGTGGCCTGATTAATGGATGGAGCTCCACAAATACACATCTGCCCCGCTAAGGTGCCAATTGGGCACGGAGGAGCCCATGCAGGACAGCCCCGGAAGAAATCGCAAACAGTGCCCGACGTGCAAATTGCTTCGCTACCAGAGTACATTTTGCATGAGCATTTCGCCTGAATTGCCGTTGGAGAAGGGTTACATGCCGAAAGGACTGGAGGGGGTTGCCAGTCGCATGGAAGAAGGCAATAGCCGCCCAACTTTTTGTTAATAATAAGTTTAGAAATTTTATAAATAATTTTAGAATAAGGACAAATGATTTATAATTATTTAAATTAGTTAATATTTAGTAGATACCTGAGAATTGCATGGAACAGCGACCATCGCAATTACCAAAGTTAGAAAGATAATTTTAGCCATGGCTGTATTTCTTATGGTAATGATCCTGAACTTGGTTATGGCCGGATTTATATATGCATATTGGTGATTTATATAACCTATTTAATCGATGACTTATTCAATTCGGCATACGAAATAACAATTACATCTGAACAAACATACATATCTGTACTTTTGAATTGTTTACACTCTCCATATTTTTTCCTGGAAATATTTGAGTTTCTGGAATGCGCATAAAGTACTTAAATAAACATTTGATTTTGGATTGATCCAAATGGTTGTCCTTTCCAAGGTCTGTTGCCATATGCATATTTAACTGCATATTTAGTTATTAAGGTGTGAAAGCACTTTGTTAGCTCGTTTTGTCCGTCTGTTGGTCCCACAAATTCGACAAACTTAAACAGACTAGAAATTTTGAGCATATGTTCCTTATATCAGGGGTCCGATGTGATTAAAATTTGGGCGCCGCTGGTTACGTAATTCAAAGACGAAAGGGTCAGTAAAGCTCAGGTGAAGGTCAAATTGCTATACATGTTACAGAAATTCCTATGTGTGAATTTACAGGAAATCTAACCATGAATCAGATCGGTACCTTAATTTTGACATTAAGGGAAACGGTAGGTTTCAATAGGCCAGAAAATGTCAACTTTGAAACATTAGAAATGTTGAAAACACGTAAGAAATAATGTTAATATTATCATATATTTTACGCAAAAAAAGATATTCATTTTGATGTACAACATTGGTGACACCCTTTGGTTACATGTGATTGTAGCGGTTTAATTAATCTGGTTATTCTTCTGAATTTACACAAATGCTTCGCAAAAGTCACTGCATAATATTTAATCTTTATAAAGCCTTTTAAAAGAATTGGATAATGCGCATTCAACCATCATTGTCACGTAACTCACCAATTTAACCCAAACCCAGAGAAAACGTGGAGTAAAGCACGTACTTGTTTTTTAGCCAGGTTTATTTCATCAAATATTGTCATTTATATCCTTCATATACCAAAATGGCGTGATAGGTACATATTTAGGTAGGTATTTATTAGGTTCGATTGATGTATGTGGTTTCAACCTTTAAATAGATAATCACCACTCAAACTCTTACTTTGATACGTATGTGTTAATGTGACTGTCGACTCCATACTGAACTCATTTGGTATTACCAGTGAAATTGAGTCTCATGTTGAGATTCTGAACTTACTAAAATGGAGAATTTATTAGCGTATAGTTAAGAATGGGTTTTCAGGTACACATTATTAATCATAGTTTTCAGTTTTTACATGATTATACATAATTTTAAAAAATTGTGATTAGTAAAAAGGTAGCAATAGTTTAAGTAAAAAATGAGAATCCATCAATTCGTCTTCTGATGACTCGGGAAGCGCTTTCCTGGAATCCTGGAATTAAAGTTTTCGAGAATGAAATGTTATACGGAATCGCCTTTCCGATGCATACAACAACCATACTTTTTAACGCAATTAATGCCTTGTTTAATGCTGAGGGTTGGAGACTTGTTATTGATGAGAAGGATGAGGTAAGCCACTGTATTACATAAGGTCAGAGTATTTGTAGATCTATCCATTTGTAGATAGTAATGAGGGAATAAACCTGTTGAAAATTCTGATAACAATTACCTACGCGAAATTCAATTCCCTCTACTTACAAAATTTAGATTCGAAATAAACTGACCACACAACCAACATAAAATTTCACACGTTGGTCCTTTTCTGGGTATCACATACTAAACAATTACAGTTATCTGCACAAATTTTTCATAAAATTCACAAACCTTGTGGAGTTCTGCCAATGCGCCATTCACATTTATCTATTTTCTTACCCGGCTGGATAAATCGGACCTAGAGTTTCACTCTGTTAACAATATAATTGAGTCCCAACCTTGCATGATTATACGATTAGTTGGCGATAATTTTCAAGAAAAGGGTGATCCAGCTTTCTACATAATTTGCCCGGCTGTCCAAGTCTGATTAGGCTAGATGGGAGATGTCCACCTGGAAGCACAATCTGTCTGATAAAGAGGGTTTTTGATATGGTTGTTTTTGCTAGGTAAGTGTGTCTGATTTTTAAATATCCCTCCCACTTAGGTTCATATAATCCCTAAAACCTTGCCCATACATTTCCATTCAAACGCTTTAATTTTTAGGAATTGGAACAGAAAAATCAGACTACGTGAGCATGTAAATAGATCGCCCATATCTTTATACCAGACTTTCGACGTTCCTCAACTGGTATTCGACCCACTTTTATGAACGGTTTTGCGACGATCGTTACACTTTTCGGCAAATTCAGAATATTGAGCTAGTTAACGTTTTCTGAATATGTGTTTAGCCTACTGCTTTGTTACAGTAATTCGTTACTTGCAACCTATCCTGTTCATCGACTTTATATGGTTGTTGAAGTCGCAAAATTTACTACAAAACACACAGTTTTACCTAACGACAATGTTTTCATTGAATACCCCGCCTTCACATTTTTTACCTGCTGGGCCCAACCCATGCTAAGTTTTGAACCTTACACAGCCCCATTTCGGACAGATTGATGGATAGGAAAAGTTCTCTGGTTACTTTTTATGCTGATATGTTTTACCCTCTTTAACGAGACCCGTAACGTCGCCCAAGTCAAGGAAGCCTTTATCCTAACCGTATTACTCATGGTGTCGTCCCTGCTCGAAGAATCAGCCAATATTCCGAAATTCTTAGTCAAAATCAGATGGGTAATAGGGACGTGGATGTCGATAATCTTCACGAATTGCTACCTGAGTCTGGCAATAATTCGAATTATATCGCCACCATCGGTTAAAATGGCGGAGACTTTTGAAAACTTGTTAACCCCGGCTTGTATCTTTGACCAATGCCTGAGCTGGTTTGTTTAGGGGCATCATATACGGGCATTCTTACTTTAATTGTTGACAAACAATAAAAACATGAAGGATTTTGTTAATGAAATAAGTATTCGTAACCCCAGCATAGGGTTCAGGACTGAAGCTATTACTTTGGGTTGCATTGGCTCATGTTCATGAAATTTCACACCTATTTATATCGCTAATCAGATCTATGTAGGTTCAGATTCGGTTATCATTTTACAGTTAAATATGAGATAAGTAAGCCAGTAGAAGCAATGTTGCTCACGTTTCTCCGAGAGATAATTTTTCAACATCAACAAGGTATTCGTACCCTTGAAATTTTTAATTTCTCCTGGCTCCTGTTTGGTACATACTCTTATATTGGGAGTAAGTACGCGGGTGGCGTGTCAAAGCGGGGTAAAACGACACGTGTGTGGATGGGAGACAATGACGGAGAAATTGTGAAAGACGATGCGATGTGGGCGAGCCACAAAGACAATCCCGTGTATTTTCACCTCACCCCTTTGCTACATTTCGTTTGCAATCGTTTATTTATTTATTTTGTATTTTTATTTAATTGTGTTTCTATATACATGTATTTTATATACATGTATATTATATACATGTATTTTATTTATGAAAAAATTTGCCATTAATTGCTACTTTAAATACTTAATTATGAAAGCTTGAATTGACGAAATAGAAAACGAAGTTATGCTGTAATTTCCAGTAAACTAGGAGTAAACGAAGCATATCTATTTTGGCTTAAGGTCAACCCTGCGTCGCAAATAATGACAGCATTTAATATTACTTGTGTTACCATTTGTTCTCTTAGATTTCCGACAATACTTACATAAATGTAAAAAACGGACAATACCCATTAACAAAATAATATATAGTTGACGTTCTTTGATAAAGGCAACCATTGCCGCACAAATCAAACTACCTGCCAGAATAAACACTGTTGGCAGCGCTCCATTTAATGTAGCTATATTTGTGAGTACGATATTATTTGATTGCCTCATAACCACAGCTTGAGTGCGATTGAAGTTTTTCGCTTGTAATTCTTCGCCTTCAACGTGTACCCAAATCCCGGCTTCCACTACTCCCTTGAAGCTTTTGATAATCGGTGACCGCAAAGGAAATTGGAATGCAATACCACTTGGATAAGTTTGGACTACCTGGTCACTGACGACGAATTTTTTCCTGGGATATTTTCTTGCCAGAAATTCTTTTTCAATTTGAAGTTCAGACGATTTCGCTATGAACACAGTCTTCCCACACTGTACAACTTCTTTTTCAATGTTTCCCTGTAAAACTCCCAACGAAAAGTTTTCATTAAAAAAACTGACATCATTCGGATAGAAAGAATGCATCGGGGTGAAGAGATTCAAATTTCTAAATATTTCCAGCGTGGCACCGTTATCATACCACATCCACGAGTATTGAAAATCATTCCCCAAAGCTCCCAAAATGGATAAAAATTCTGGTAAAGCCTGCATCAAAGAATTGCGTTGGAATGGGGACAGCAATTTATAGCACTTATCATCCACATTGCTCATCAAGTAATTAGAGTAGCCATTACGATATTTCAAGTCGACTCCACTCCCCATCGAAATTCGATGAACCCAGTCAGCAAATTGAGTAAGGTTTTCATAATGCCTCCAATCTGATTTTGAGATACGTGTTTTATCGCGATGCCAGGATTTCAACATTCCGTTAATCTGGTCCTGGCATGCCAAATCATCAAACTTTTCTGGATGATAGAATCGGCGTGGTGAGTTTAATTCCGAGATCATAATTCCATTATAACCGTTTGTAAGAATTACTGACATTATGCTCCAAATTCCAATTAAAATTCGGCAAAACGTAGTTTTTTCTAACTTGCTAGGCAAAAAGCCCCCCTCTTCGAAGAGCGAAGCCAAAACAAACAACCAGGCAGAGAAGGGTTGCTTATCCTTCTTATAAAGGAAATGGTAAGCTATGGTCATTACTCCTATAATTGTGCTAATCGATACACCCAAAACGACCCAAGCCTCCGTTTGGTATGGTGTAAGGTAAAAGTCAAACGAAATATAGGGTTCAGCGTAACACGTTAGAAACTGATATCCTTCAAAGCTTGTGAAAACCAGTGCAACATCATTTTCGTCTAAAGTCATTATTGCCATCTTGGCGGGTGGATTTGCCGAGTTAAAGCTTAACTGGACATGTCTATCGAATGGGCAGTTTGGGGTTTGTATGTGGGTTATATTTGTTGTGAAGAAAATATCCAAAGCTAACTGAAGGAAGGAATTTTTAGTTATACCATTCAACCGATTAGTATTTACCGCAGTGGACCTTGCTTCTTGCGAAGGGGATTGTAAAATGCACCATACTTCCCATTGCGGTGCTACTTTTTGAATGGTGGATAAATAGTTTCCTCCGTTTAAGTATATTTGTGGCAAGCATCTCATTATTTCAACGGAACCCCATTCACCAGAATTTTGCGAGGTTTTAAAGGATTGTGGGAAACACAATTCAAAATATTGATATGGTCTGGCTACTATTATGAGGAGGTGGTTGGATGGATTTCTAAAAACATCGTCACGTAGATATGGCAGGAACTCCGATTTCGGTCGGACTGTGACAATCGTGATCACTGCGTTTGTACCTGATACGAACTTCAGTCTATTACGCCCCTGTAAGAACTCTTTATAATAAAGGTGATAATTGGTGGCTATTTTAACCCAGTAGTAAAGATAATTGTATGATTTTTTGCTGTCAAATATAATAAACGCTAATTGACATGGGGATGCACGGGAACTTAAGATATTAATCGCTGGGAGAATGCCTGATTTCATTTGCCATATTGGCAAAGATTGATAACGTGACATAAGAATATTTTTAGATACAATGTTCAAATCGTTAAGGGACAATTGAACGTGGTAATTCCCCTGGTGAATAAATTGCACTTCGCAGTGGTCAAGATTCGAGAGCAAATTATGGATGCTACGTACTGCGATATGGCTATTGACGGCGAGAATACCTAACCATAACATAGAAAGGAGTGAAATATGGGAATGCGTTTCAAATCTTGTAAACATACTGATCTATTTTTTCAGCAGGGAAGTCACAAATGATGCGAAATTTAATTAGTAGCGATATTTAGTAGCGATATTAAACTTTTGCAATTGATCCCTAAGATAAGACAAGTACTGAACAATTACTAAGCACTTTTTATAGTACTGATGGGAATACAATGTTTAACAATTAGTCTCCTTAAGGGTCTACACGATCGACAATTTATTTTCCGAATATTAAGGGTTTTTTAAGCTAATAAATATAACATTAGATTAACTGGTCATGTTATTTAGGTAAGAGCAAACAAACTTGGTTAATTTCTGCGATGGTTCTAGGAATCTTTTCGTTTCATTATGGTTATGATGTGATACATATTTTATGATTCTTAAAACTCCTACTTCGCCGCCAGTGACACGATGCCGCAACAATTTTCTGAGTAGTTACTATAGGATTAGATCTCAACCATTGCGTGAAGAAAATCTACAAGGTTGTCAATAGGAGTGCTACAACATCAGAGTCGTAATAAAGCGCTTCGATAGGCCTCAAAACTCATTGTACGACGTGTAAGGCAAAATATCCGGTGTTGTCACAAAGTGAATAATGTAGAAGAGGGTATTTGGATAAGGATATATACACTCTAAATAATTTGGTTACATGTGAGCTATTCGCGTTAATAAATGTAAGCAATTAATAACATTTCCACTCGATGTTCGCTATTGCTATTTCTATTCATTATGGGAAAGGATGAAAATTATTAACATGTGGCACGAACAAACTTAAGATATAATCTTTCAGTAACTACCTATACTTTACTATGTTGCGCACTTGGGTTGCTACCTAAGCATTAGATTTGTGTTTACTCAAATAAATGTTAAAGTGCTCGCTTACTGATTAATGTTTGCATGTAAAAAATATTATCTAATTTCTGTGAAAGCATATTTTCATTTGAGTCGGGAAAGTAAAAATATTACTGTGAAATTAACAAGGTTCAAGAAATACAGAAAATAAAAACTGAAGCTTACTCCCAAGTGGGTGGTCCGCTTTAATTACCCAACAGGGTGGGGTGGCTAGTGCAGATCAAATGATTGGGGAATGTAGATTCTTGAGGCAGGTTGAGAATTCAGAGAAGAAATAACTTTTACCCGAAACGCAGTTAATGTTGTGTAGAACTTGGGAATCAACGTACTTTTTACAATATCTCCTGACAAAAGGTACAGAATAAGCGGATGAAATAGATATGTGCACGAGTACCATACGATATAATTACAGATAGTGCAGAATAAATAACGGAAATTTAGACGCAATACTGTTACATGATTTCGTGGTTAAGATTCATTCAACCTAACGAAATAAACATGTCGTCCAGTCAATCTACGCCATTTGTGCGGTTTGCACAAATGTATGCACATACATATAATAAAAAATAAATTTTGATATAGTGAGGGTATTCATTATTTCTTCGTATCCGTAGTATCGTAAAATAGTTTACGAAGAAAACAACAAGGGGTCTGGGTTCGTAAAAATCATAAACGTAGTAACGTGATTTTCGATGACAAAATCTTACGACGCTTACAAAATCTCGTAAGCGTCGTAAGTTATTTTACGACACGAAGAATACTAAAGATACGAAGAAATAATGAATACCATCATTGACTCTATGGCTTTGAGATAGTGAAGCGTCCCTGTATGGTACGCTTATACTTATTTTACATACTGTATGTACATACATAAATATGAACAGCACTTTTTGAACCTACGTTTGTATAGTTAACACAACATCGAACTTGAAAATACAAAGCATACGTTACGTTACGTATATTTATTTCCGAATCAAAAATATCTAAATATGCATGATAAGTTGAACATTCAAATAAAAACAGTTCACACATATTTCATTCTCGACAGAAACTCAATCTTCCGAAACATAGATAATTTCATACTTCACACTCCAGTGTATGCCTTCGGCAGTGTTGAACTAATAGATAAAAACTGTAATATTTTTTATCGCAGAAGTAGCACTCCTTGGTCTTCAGACCGCCGTGCACGCGGGTAAGATGACGGGTAAGGTCGCCTTTAAGCCAACCTTTGAACTCGCATTTCCCACAAGAATAAAGTGGCTCCTTGTTTAACGAGTGTTTCGTCATTTTGTGCGTCGTTAAGCCAGATATTGACATGAACACTTTCCCGCACTGGATGCATGGATACTCGTAATTTTCGTGGTAAGTTTTAATATGACCCAGCAATCCAGTCCTGCTCATAAAGATGCTTGAACAAAGTCTGCAAGGGAACTTTTGTCTGGTAGTAATGTTCTGGTGGGTACGCTAAAAGTATTTTTAAGAAAATTTATGAAATATAAAAATCATTTAGTGTATGTATGCATAACGAGTTCGCATCATCTTAACTGGCATAACTTTGTTGAAATTACGAATTTTTCAAAGCAATGAATAGTGAAGACATTTCGAAAATGACAAAGTTCACACAAATTGGTATTCAGGGTGAAAAAATGTCTGCAATTTGTCAAATAATAAATTTCAAAATTAACACAGATAAAATCCTCTCTAAATAATGAAGATTTATAGATTTTTCGTATTTCAAAATTTTCCTACTAAATTATTACTACACGGTAGTATTTATCAATACCAGGTTGGTAGAGTATTATCTGAATATGTACCAGCCTTGGACACGGGCAAGTCAATTTTGAAACCAAAATTCCTTGCGCACTTGATTTTTTTTGCAAACGATGCGAACTCGAAATGAATACCCTTTTTAAAAATATTTATGCATGATCGTTCACCAAACCTCATGAGTCCTTAAATCGCTAATTTGGGCCTTTCTTGCCCCACAGGTTCGGCATGAATAGGGCCTCTCCGTCGTATGCGTTCTAACATGACGGTCCAGCTCCCCTCGGCATTTGGCCTTGTGTCCACAAAGGGTGCACGAGAATCGGACAGGATTCTGGGAGTGTTGAATCTTAACGTGGCGAATTTTCGACCCGATGTTCTGATAGGTTTTGCCACAGCCTGGAAAAGTGCACGGATGTCGTGGTCGTTCTGATGTGTCGTGAATGTTTGCCATATGGCCGAGTAAATCCCGTGCCCGTTTAAATTCTCGGAGACAAATCTTGTACCTGTGTTTCGGTCGGCCACTGTGGAACCGTCCTACGTGCTGTCGCAGACCACCGGAATTGGCAAAGGTTTGTACGCAAATCTATTAAATTTTTTCCAAAATATTAATTAATCTCTTTTGTACCTAGTTACATACATATAATTTTATAATAAAATTTCCCTGTAGTACGATATTGATTTCATAATTACACCTGATAGAAACCAATTAAAATTTCAACAAATCCATAGGAAGTTATTTATTTTCAACAAGTTTCAAATTTTTTAGCTTTATCGACGAAAAAACGAAAAATACACTTTTTAACATTGGTCGGTATAGGAAAAATTCCAAAATTTCAGAAGACAAATATCGAAAAAAAATCCACTTCTTGCCATCGTGCTTTCCACAAAATACCAAAGAATTAGTCACTTTTTTCAAAAAAATTTGGTGTCAGGGAAATTTAGGAAGCACACATATGTCAATGGAATACAATCTGCGACACAAATGTCTGCACTTTGGTAGCCACGAGGTTAAATCTTAAATGTGTTTCTTTTATGTTTATAGCTTACGTCACATTTTGCAGTTACATGCATTCGGAGATGTTTCTCGAAACGTTTATTGGTTGTGATAAGTTTTGAACATTTCGGACATTTCAGCCTCTTCACTTGACGGGATCCCATTGGACAAGATTAAATCTGTAAAGATTTTTTCAAAATATTTAAATATTCTGATGAAATTCTTTAGAGATAATTAAGTCAACTGGTTCGCAAAATTTTTTGTTTACTTGAAAATTGTCCTCGGGCCTGGTTTTGTAAAATTCTTACGGCGAAAATTGTCAAAACTATTTAGTTCGATATTAAAAACTGTGCGTGTAATACGATCCAAATGTGCTAAAATAGCTACTGTATCTCATGGTGAGACCATTTCTTAGCGAGTTCAGTTTACAGAATTTAAGGGACTGGGCAACATGGTTTATTGAAGGTTGAGATGGTCGTTGAAATAGAATTAAGCAAAGTTTCTATTGGAAATAAGGAAATGTATTATGCATATTGAGGTGAAGGACAAGTCGTCAAGTTTCCATGCAGAGTTTTAACTCTTCAATGGATGGCACCATTTTCAGGGGTTGGCCCTTTTTCTCGGGTACATGGGATAGCACATATGTACAATAGAATTATTATGTTATGCACATGGTGGTGGTGAAGTGGATGCTCCACGGTTTAGATTTAGATTTAGACCTTTTTTCAAGTGTTAATAGTTTTCAGTTTACAAAACTGGTTTAAAAACTATGACACAAATGGATATATTTACATATAGCGGTGGTGGTGGGATCAAGAATGTTTTTTCGCATGGAAATCCTTTTGGGTAACCAACTTGCCTGGTTATAAGTATCGTCACAAATGCATATATGTATGTACATACATATTTACGTGATTACTCATCCTCTGATTTGTCGGAAAAGGGTTTCTGGAATATGTCTATTTATATGTTCACTTAACCCTGAAATTTTTATATCCCTCCCACATACATACAGAATACAGTCAGCAAAAAAAGTGAATACACCTTTACGTATTTTTTATTACGGTATGATGCCGTGCACTTACAAGGGAACATACCGAGGTGTCCAACGAGTTAAGGGTCGACACCTGTACCAAAATAATCACACTACATGATTTATTAAACACACTGAAGGAATTTCCGTGTAAAATTCACTTTTCGTCACGTTGTGACGATATTTGTAAAGAGCGCATGACCATCGGGTTGCCACCGGGATAGGTCGGCCGCTGAACGATCAGATCTAACACATGTTGTCTTCAGAGATTTCAAATTTCAAATAACTCACTTCAAATTTTTTCAAAATTTCATAATTGTATCAAAATTCCATCAAAATTTCAAAACCTTTTCAAAATTTCAAAATTTTTTCGAAATTTAAAAATTTCTTCTAAATTTTTAAAATTTTTACAAATTTCAAAATGTTTTCAAAATTTCTTCAAGATTTCAAAAGGGTTTCAGAATTTGAAAGAATTCGAAATCTCTAAAGACGACGTGAAGACGACGACACTTCTCTGTGGTCGACATGATCGTTCAGCGGCCGATCTCTCCCTCACTGACAACCCGATGGTCATGCGCTCGTCACAAATATCGTCACAACTTGACGAAAAGTGAATTTTACACGGAAATTCCTTCAGTTTGTTTAATAAGTCTTGTATTGTGGTCATCTTGATTCAGGTGTCGACCCTTAACTCGTTGGACACCTCGGTATGTTCCCTTGTTAGCGCTTTGGAATTCCGCACGCAGTTGAATAAACTAATTGGCGATTAATTCCGCGTCACCGATTTTTAAGGTCACCGACAGGTCAAATGTCAGAATTTTTTAGCAATTAAAAATGAGAGCCCAAAAATAAAACTCGATGGATATTTTTTTTGACTTTCTAATATTTTTTATTGGAAACTACAAAGCCTTACGAAGAAAATGAGGTATTATATGACCGTGTATGATTTTTCTGAGGCCCACAGGAATTTTTCGCCAAAAACGGTTTTGAGGCCTAAAATCGTGACCGCAGCGAAATTCAACTATTTGAAATATACAAAAGCATATATGCACTTTCTATATGCTTTTGGGTTCTTACCCTCCGAGATGTTTTCCCATGTCAACTCTGCCCACGATTTTTCTTAGGAAGAGAAGCCCTCGCCACGTATATGGAGAATTATCACGAATACCTGGCAAAATACGGGTGCACAGTTTATAACCAGAAATACAAAACTCGACTAAGTCTGATGTATCATGTTGAAGTAAAACACGCTTTGAACAAGCCTCCGAGTCATACCTGTCATAAATGCGAATACAAATCACGGTCAAAGTCAAACTTATGGTGACACTTGAGCCAGAAGCACAAAGGTGTGAAGAGGTCCAAATGCTAGTTTTGTGGAAAAAAAATACTTTACGTTTACTCAATTAGTTATTCACTGTAGAAGGCACATTTCAGAGAAATGTTTAAAATAAAAACATGTAAATTAATCATGTTTTTGGACATGTTGAGGATTAGTTAAGTTGAAAAATGAGTATAATTATGACAGATAATTTGTTCGTTTTGTTGTTAGAAAAGTATATTCACAGATGCTGTCTCAAAATATTTACTTAAATGCAATACATCAATACATATTTAAAAAATAACTTCCTAGATACATATGTACATAGGCCACTGAAATTTCAGATGATTAATTTGTAATGATATTAAATGCTAAAACTTAATAGGGCCAAAATTATTAAGATAGATATATGCAATGAAATAGTGTTTTTTTTCGCGCTCTAACGATTTTCAAGTTAGATACCTTAAAATTTGCGTAAAACTGAGTAGATTAATAATCCGCAATAAAATTAGGGGGGCGCTTAGCCAGTTTTCGAGATAAATGCCAAAACGTGCGAATTTTTTTGCGAATTTTGAGTTTTATGTCAAAATCGTTCAAACCTGGTCAAATATCATCGCAAATTACTTTAAAAATTATTTTGGACTAGAATTCGGCCGCTGCCTCGATTTTGGACCCCAATTTTCCAATATGTTGAACTTTGCAAAATAATTGCATTTTCCGTATTATTAATTAAGATAGATATATACAATGAAATAGTGTTTTTTTCGCGCTCTAACGATTTTCGATTTAGATGGCTTAAAAGTTGCGTAATATTTAGTAGATCAAAAATGAGTAATAAAATTGGGGTGGTCCTCCAGCAGTTTTCGAGATCTAAGCCAAAATGTACGAATTTTTTTGCTAATTTTGAGAATTTCAAGTTTTGACCAAACCTTTGCTTTAATATGGCTCCAAATAATTGTAACAATTATTTTGGACCAGAATTTGGCCGCTGCCTCGATTTCGGACCCCAATTTTCTGATATGTTGAACTTTGCAAAATAATTGCATTTTCCGTATTATTAAGATAGATATATACAACTAGCCTATAAGCCCGTCCTCAAGACGGGCCACATCAATTATTTTACACGATGATTGCCACAATATTGAATTAAGCCAGTAATCGACGCGATGCACTAAGCTGGATGAAAATTATAATTCTAAGTAAACAAACAGCACATGTAGTTAAGTCAGGAAGTCACTAAAGTCTTTTGATATTTATTATCAAAGTCCAAAATCATCCAGTAATTTTTATGCTACTAACGATTTTTTAGGTTCCTATAAGGATGTTTTTTAATGTTGGTTTTAAATGTAAGGTTTTTATGTTCCGAAGGAAATTTTTTTTATTTGCTAAAGAATTCTCTGACTTTGAATATCAAATTTTTAAATGTTGCCAAGGAATATTTTTGACGTTGCTAACGAATTTTTTTTATGTTTCTAAGTAAAATTTTCTATGTTGCTAAGGAATTTTTTTCACATTGCTAAGCAAAATTTTTGACGTATCTAAGGAATTTTTTAACTTTTGTCGAGGACTTTTTTTAACGTTGGTAAAGAATTTTTTAACGTTGCTAAGGATTTTTTGGGTGCCAATATAACCGCCCAACTAAATTTTTTTTTCTTCCAACCAAAAGCTATAATTTTTGCAACACTAAAATTTGCAACCAATCGAATTTTTTAATCCAACGAAAATGTAAAATATTACAACCAACAAATTTTACAGCACCAGGGCATAAATTTAAACCCACCCGTATGCTGCGCGCCCCGATAGCGCAAGCTTATCAGTAGATTTTATTCAGCCATCGGGTTTAGGTTTATGTTGTACAGAATTTAACTGGCTTTCCAACGGTACTACATTTGGTTATGAAAAAACTAACGGGTATGCGTAATTAATCATACCAGAAAAAAACAAAAAAATTAGCTGCAAAAGTTTAAACCCGCTTCTTATTAAAAATTGCTTAATGACGAAGGGGGGTTAAGGCATGGGTTTAACAATTATTTACATTCATCCTAGGTACTCTACTTGCAGAAAAAGCTAAAAAATGGGAAAAAATCGGGAGTTGACCATTGCGATAACATATTATTGTAAATCTCCGCGAGCGAGACCTGGGGCACATAAAAATTAGTGCTATTACCAAATTTAACAAAAATTCAATTAAAACAATGATTAGGAAATAGAAAAATACAGCTACTGTGTCAAGTAATCCTAAATCGGGACGGCCAACAGTCAAATCTAAGCGAATTGACTAAAATATTGTTCCAAAGGCAATCCAAAATCGTGGGATGGCACTCCAGAATTTGACCTCCGATAGCAACAGGCAATGTGAGATCCAAATTAGCCCATGAATTGTGAAGAGGAGACCCCACGTACCAAGTCTCAGGCGACGATGAGCTCGAAAAAAAATGTGCCTACCTGTGAAAGACTTAACCCGAAGCCTGAAATGGGCAAATTAGCATTCTGAAATGTCTTGAATCTGGAAAATGAATGTATTGCACGTTGCGTACAAGTCATTGCTTTTTAAGACCTTCCACAGGTCTCCCCCAAACATTATTTACCCCCTAATTCACTAAAATACCAAGTTTTATTTTTTCCGACCATGATACTTTGATCCAGTTTTGGGTGGTTTATCCAAAATGCTCATTGGCCCATTTCAGGCTTCGGGTTAAGTCTTTCACAGGTAGGCACATTTTTTTTCGAGCTCATCGTCGCCTGAGACTTGGTACGTGGGGTCTCCTCTTCACAATTCATGGGCTAATTTGGATCTCACATTGCCTGTTGCTATCGGAGGTCAAATTCTGGAGTGCCATCCCACGATTTTGGATTGCCTTTGGAACAATATTTTAGTCAATTCGCTTAGATTTGACTGTTGGCCGTCCCGATTTAGGATTACTTGACACAGTAGCTGTATTTTTCTATTTCCTAATCATTGTTTTAATTGAATTTTTGTTAAATTTGGTAATAGCACTAATTTTTATGTGCCCCAGGTCTCGCTCGCGGAGATTTACAATAATATGTTATCGCAATGGTCAACTCCCGATTTTTTCCCATTTTTTAGCTTTTTCTGCAAGTAGAGTACCTAGGATGAATGTAAATAATTGTTAAACCCATGCCTTAACCCCCCTTCGTCATTAAGCAATTTTT